CACGCGCCAATTTTCGCGCCAGGGACACCCCCCACACTTGAACCTAGAGTGGCCATCCTCAGAGGATCGACGAGGAAAGGGGACACACTTCTGGACCATCTGGAGCCCTCAAAGAGCTAGAGAGCTTGGGGAGTTGGACTTGGCCCTGGGGCAACGACGGGTCGAGCGGGCGACTGTGCGATTCGGTCAGGGGTGCCCTGGAGCGGAGGAGCAGAGTCGGGCGTCTCTCGTCCAACCACCGTCGGATTGGCTGCAGCCGTGCGGCGCGTTGATCTGGGCAGACAAGGTCGGTACATCGCGGGGTCTTGGATCCCTATGGCCCTGCCGTCGTCTGATGCTTTGATTCTGGTGGTCAGATGGGGCAGCCCCTGTTGGGGATTAAAGTCGTGTCGTGTACCTGCGCGAGTCCCGATTCGGACGGCCTGCTCTTCTGCCAACCCCAGCTCCCTGTCGAATGAGCAGAAATCTGGACAGAGACGCCAGAGAAGAGACGGGAGCTACAAGACAGGCTGTTGCTCAACCTTTCAAGCTGGCCTGCTGATGAAGAGCAAAGCAAAGGAAGCTCAGTCTTAGACTTGAGACCGGCTTGAGTGACACGGCGTGGTGGCTTGAGCTTTTGAGCGAAGCCCACCGCCACCCACGAGCCCTGAACAAGACAACTGAGAACCTGGTCAGATACGAGAAATGGCGCCTCCGCTGTTCATCACTAAAAGGAGAACGGCGTCAGGCACTGCACTGCACTATCAGCGCTAATACGCAAGGGGTTGGGTGGCCAGTTGAACCAACCAGGTGCTCAATGCAACCGGCCCTTCTCGGACTTGTCCCTTAGGAACAGTCCTCGACAATCTTGCCAAACCAGGCGATGGACCGTTCATCATAATCAGCAAACCGATCATCTCTCTACTTCTCGCGTAGGGACCTCCATGTGTAAATCACCCAAAGGTGGCACGGATGTGATGACCTGTGAACAGACCATGTCTTGCAGTCGATAGAGGCAGGCGCAAGCAAGCCTCAGAAGTTCTTGCCATCGTACCTTTGCACCTTGGCTGGATCAATTATGAATATGAATATACTCCCAGTGGTCGCGGACCAGTCCTTTGCATCAGATTGCCCTTCGCTCAAGGAGCATTGGGTTTCTTGGTGTAACAATTTCTCTCCCTGTTGAGCCGCGTCGATGCCATGCCATCAATATCTTCCAGTCGGGGTTTGCCAGGATGAAGCAACTCTCATCTCTCGCTGCCGTGCGAGCCGTGCTAAGGCCTACGAAGGTTTTTGGCCCTGGCGCTATCAACAGGCTCCCACGCTTGCCCGCGAAGCGCATGGCTGACTGTAGAGAGTCGCATTTTACTGCCCCTGATTTACTCCTGTACTCGTGGCCAACATTCCAGCAATGCCAGCCTGGGTGAGACATCAGCAGCGGCGCGCTAATACTGTAGCTCCAACCCTGTTTCCCCGTGGTGCCGCGAGCCCATCATCACAGAAAATGCAAAAGCTGTCATGCCCTCTATTAAGGGCCTGCTCAAGCAGCAATCCGTTTGCCCATTCACTTAACCATGGAAAACAGGACTTCTCCACCGCTGGCTGGCCACAACCCGCATTCCACCATTCGCAGATCCCGATCTCCTTGGACTGTGTCTCCCTCTATCCCCATGACCACTAATAAGATAGCATCCGCCGGCCGTGCGGCCTGGGCGGGTCTCTGGGAGATTGAGATGATGGCCGTTAGCTCTCGAACCGTCAGTGGCGTGGAAACAACCCTGGCTACAGGCAGCCCAGCAATAATACCAGAGTTTCAGCCTCACGTCCGTCACATCTGCCAAATTATGACTTCAGCCAAGGAACACCTTCGTTGGGCGGAATGCGCCAATCAGACTGGCTTGGAACTTGATATTCCCAAATGAGCTCTGCCTTCGTGCGCAGAGCCTCTCTACCGCTTCGTCTAGCCTCTATGATTGTCCAAATTCGTTATTTCTCAAGGCAATCGAATCCGACCTTCTGGATCCGGCCAAAGGAACCTCAGTACTGAGCTCGGTAAAACGAGGTACCAAGCTGGGGCGACGACGAGCACTGATCTGTTGCGCCAGCGGTGAGCGTCGTTCGCAATCTGCGTTGAAGAGCACGAGTTTCAGCCACCAATAGTCCCGCTGCTCGCTTTGCCTCGATTTTGG